AGGAAGTGCAAAGTGTCCCTCACAGTTGTAAGAGGAACATGGCACCAGTATGGGTGCCTATGCAACAATTTCCTGATTCTAACTTCATCGGCATCAAGTTCAACTGAGAGGAATTTTATGACATCATTGCCTCTAGTTCGATCACCTCCTTCACGTACATATCTACGGAGAGAGAAAATAAGGGCAAGAGTAAAACAACAAGAACAAAAGTAAAAAGATGCACTCCTATAAAGGACATTAAAATGTTCTTTGTACTTTTGTATAGCTCATTTAGCCTTCATGTTCATCTACTTCTAACATACATCTACTGTGGCAAAGTTAAATCACACTACAAATATCACCCTGAATGAAGGCAGATATCACATGTCATTAAACTGAAAAATAGAAGTTCTAGATATCAAGAACAGCTATATTTTATGTAATGTAGTAATTTTCTGTATGATTATCCATTTTAGCAAACATGATGAAGTACAAAGTAGGCTTTATGTAAAGCTACAAATGTGCCAGTATGCACCAAAACTGAACCCACAAAAATAAAAACACCTGCCTACTTGATACAGACATGCAAGTGAATTCAGCCTCGCAATAGTAACTTGTTCTACTGGACTGAACACAGCAAGTGCTCCTCCCCTTCCCCCATCCATTTTTACACCTAAAGACAAAGAATGATTCATCTGTTGAAACACTTTGTTTTGACAGCAACAGACTGATGGTAGATAAAGTCTAAAGCAAACATGTTAGTAATATGTCATCACTGTCCAACACATTCAGAGAAAAATGAAAACTCTTGGAAACTTTTAGTGTAGTTTCATAATACCAAATTTCATCTAAATCTGTTTAGTAGTTTGAGAGCTTAAACAAAGAGACAGAACACATCCACTATGCGCTGCATGCACAAAAAAGAAGTATAGGAATATCCACAAAAATAGGACTTTTAACATGCACAACCTGTGCGCTTGCTTTCAGCCCACACTTTGACGGAACAAACACTCCAAGATCAGTGGAACCTACAATCAAGAATCCAAGCTTAACTAACATCATGGAGCTTTGTCAGCCTGCATACTAGGGAGCGACAGAATAACATTTGCGCATACAGGTCAGAAGCATGGGGAATTCATAAAAGCAGTGAAGCCAGACTTAACTCTTCAGAAATTAAGTATTAGAACAGTCATCAGGGCGATTCATCGCCCTGATGATGGAGGCAGTATGACCTCCGAAACGTTGGTAAACATCGACCATACTACACGGCTCAAAAACCCAGAAGACAGAAATCTTAGTTAATACAACTTGTAGGGTGTCATGGATTCAGAGATAGTTGGAAGTAGGGAGGAGAGTGGAAGTGGCATGATCAATTGTTTAGTCAAATAGAATATGGGGAAAACCAGATGTAATAAGCTGCTGATGCAGGATAGGAAGGAAGGTGGACCGAAGAGAAGATGGACAGATGATGTCAAGATATATGGATCATTGGAGACATGAAGGAGGAGGCTGGCATGAGGAAGTAGTGTAAGGATCAATAACAGTTGTAATCCCATACATGCACATACAGAGTATTCAAAAAGTCGCGCAACCTTATGGGGAAATGCATGTTGTTGTTCAACACATGTAATTGTTTTTTTTTGTCCAGGTGGTAAAAAATATTGAGTAGCCATAGGGTACAAGTTGCAGCAGCATATATTTATTGTCACACAGTACATCCACTCCGGCAGTTATGCCAGGACACAAGAGGCCTTCTCAGAAAAGAACGGAACAGTTGCTCCAAACAAATCCTCCATCATGCGGCTACATGACAAGTTTCAGGAGACAGGGAAAGTCGAGGACGCATCGACAAGCGGTCGACCGAAGGTGTTAACAGAGGAAAAGTTGGTCAACGTGCAAGCTGCATATGCTGTGAGTCCCCGGAAGTTCGTTAGAAGCCTTTCAAGTCAGTCCGGGCTCTCCATTGGCAGTGCCCACACGGTGTTGCGCAGGTGCTTGAAAATGTACCCCCACAACATCCGTGCCATCCAGCAACTACTGCCTGGAGACCTGCAACTTTGTCAAGCTTATTTTCAGTGGTTCATGGAATCTGTAACACTGCATGGGGAGGAACTGGATGATTGGTATTGGTCTGACGAGGCGTGGTTCCATCTCGATGGGTACGTCAATGCCCAGAATTCTCAACTATGGGCCGCGAAAAACCCACATGAGCTGCCTGAGTCGCCTCTGCAATCACAGAAACTTGGTGTCTGGTGTGCCATGTCACATAGTCACATCTTCATGATATTCTTCCAACACACAGTGAACAGTGACCGGTACATTACGATGTTGCAAGAATTTGTCAACATTTTATCGGTAGAGAAGAAGCAGATCAACAGGATAATACCACAGCCCATACAGCCAGAAACACTATGGCTTACCTGGAAAAGTGTTTTCCAGGTCGACTGATCTCAAGGGGGTTGTGGCCATCGCAATCTCCATATTTAACACCCCCCAACTTTTTCTTGTTAGGGTACCTGAAGGATGTCGCCTACACAACTCATCCGCACAGTATTCAGGAATTGCAAGTGATCATTCAGAATTGTTTCAATGCAATCCCATGGCAAACATTGCAAAGGGTCTTCAAGAACATGATTAACCGTGTCCACTTGTGTGAAACACAGAATGGTGGCCACTTCCAGCACTTACTGTGAAATAAATAGTTTCCCCATAATGTTGCGTGACTTTTTGAACACTCTGTACAATGGAACACATTTCTCTTATTCCTCTGTTTCCTTGATTACTTCTGTTACTAAGTCACCACACTATCACAAGTGTCTCAAAATATCACTCTCAGATGCTTAAAACTTTTTACATCTTTTAATTTCTCACTGTTTACAACCAGATCTCTATTTTCACCCATAACCAAACATTCAGTTATACTCATGTTTACTTCTAATCCCCACTTATGATACTTTTTGTGAGCACTTTTTATCATACAGCTAGAGTCTAATCACTGTCTGATGATCAGCAGAGAGTAGCATGTATAAGAAATCATAATCTGCTTTCATTTATGTTTTCACGTCACCAAGGATTAACAGAAATTTTAAATAAAGTAGGTGCAATAGTGTTCTTAACATAATCGTTTAGTTTATTCCCCACTTTCATACATTTTATGTTATTTTCATAAATATTTCTTACTGTAATGATTCCATTTATCACCAAGCCTCACACAATGACATCATGGGGCACTCATAGCTTTCTGGAGATCAACTAATTCAAAAGTATGGCTCTTCCTCAAGATGATCTGTCTGATTTAATATAACTATGTTATAGATATATGAATAACCTTGTCTAAATCCACTCCACTGGCCTTTTCCATCTGTTTATTCCTCTATGTGCACATGCAACTTAATCAAACAGGGTAAAGAACACACACAATGATATACCCACCTTTCAAATTGCACTTGTGTTGATGACAAAATGTGCAGACTGGCACATTTCACTTTCATATCCTGGAGATAACCGAGCCGAGAACAAGCTTTGCGTTGATGATGCACCAGTCGCAAGACTCGAGGATGCCTTGCTAGACCAGTGAATTCTGGTACAGACTGTAGGGCTCCTAGTCGCTGGAACACAGTATCACTGCCCAGAGTAAACACCTCTGGACATTTTTGTATTGCTTCATCTGGGATACCAAAATCCTAGTAAAGGTACAAATGATACATTTTAATATTTATTTATAATATGATTCTATAATTTTATTTCCATTTATCTCACTATTCTCCATCTACCACCTGAGAGCCCCCCTTTCCTATCTCATTGGTCTAGAAAGAGCTCTGCCCTGTCCAAAGCACTTCTATATCTACCACAAACTTCTCACATGCAGCTCATACAGCAACTTGACTACGGACGCAGTAAGCTCCTTTGATACCTCAGTCAATATCTACCACACTGTACAGTGCTGCCTATACCTTCACAGTAATTGCTTATGATGAAAGTCAAACAATTTAATTCAACTTTCTCTAGATGTGTGATACAAGAGTGAAAATAATTTCCTAATCAACACTCTTTTTTAATTCCAGATAATAAGACAATCTTGAGCCACTCACAACACACTCACCTGTAAATGCTGTGCTGTTTTAATCAGAGTGTCTGTTGCAGTAGCAATGATTTTTGGGTACTTATGAAACATAGTTCTAATATCCATGCCTCCAAGAGTTTTAACACGGTTGAGTGTGTCTAACGTGTTGCCTGCATGACTGTGGATAAGATATCCATGTCTTTTAATCTAAAAAAGAGAATATATACTAGATATACATGACTGGGAAGAGAGCCTATCAACAGAAGCTCATTTAAAGACTGTTAGGGTACATGGCAGAGCCATGTAAAGCAAAGAAACAGGATCATAGTGATAAGTTCACACATACATTAACATTGCATCAAGATATGTGCACAAGTTTTAAGAATAACTTACTAAGATTACGGTACATGGAATAAGCCTTATATATCTTCCATTATATGAGAATACTACGCTGAGCAAAGAAAGCAAATTGACATGGGGTTCAGTACAAGTAGTTACTATCTCAATAAGAATGGAATGTGTAATTCACACTTGAACACACTAGGTTCCCTCATGAAATATTTGCACTATTCCATACTACTACTATACTACATACTAGACTACACAGCGCAATAACCCAGAAGACAGAAATCTTACTACTATAATATTACCAAAATATATTCAACAACTCCCACCTACACATCTAATTCATGAAAACAAGAAAACTGGAGTGAAATGTAGCACAATCTATGCACCTGCCACTATTATGATCATTATAAATACATGAACATACAGTTTAAACACTGTCTCCTTCCATCTCTGTTGGTTGGTTTGTTTACTGGAAACTTGTTGAAAGGAGAGCATAGTCAAACAGTGGGCCTTGATTGAGTTTTGATACATCAAAAGATATTAAACATATGCAATGTACTGAATACAATACACAAGATTAATATTAATTTGTTATGTTTGGAGAAAAGCATTTAAAAACATTTTTTAGCATCCTAATCAGACAAACAACTTTCAGCTGAAACTTGATTAATCATGTGTCATTTTAAATATTACACTTACACAACTTGGTAATTTAGCTCAATTATTAAATTATTATTATTATAGCACGCTGACTAACTCACAGATGATCATATGATCACAATCTATCAAGCTTTAATTATTTAAGTGCTTTTAGCAGTAGTAGTAGTAGTAGTAGTAGTAGCAGCAGCAGCAGTTGTTGTTGTTCTACTTTTTAATTATTAACTTAGAAACAACAATAACAATTTCAGGAATTTCCATAACTTATCACTACACTAAATTCTGCTCACCTAGTTCCAATGATTCAGCACTTGTTGCTATCAAACTGGAAGCTACGTACAGATTTCATGCATTTTGTTATATTCCACAAAAATTACACTGATGATGTTGCATATTTTTCAAGAATCTACTATCATACATAATTTCAGGAACCTACACTAAATAGGACTAATGTCACTCCCACCTCACAAGTTTGTGCACTTGCAATGTTGGTATTAACAATTGTATAAAATTAGGAGGTATGAGTTTGAGGTAGCCTCCAATGGCGTAATGTACATACCAAATTTAATTTAAATCCATCCAGCAGTTTTAGCGATCAATCATGTGGGCAGGTGGACAGACAATGAACCCAATGACTTCATTTTGAGCAAAGTACACATATTAAGAAACCAAAGACTATATGAGATTGGCAAATACAGCCAATAAACATAGTACTGCAACTATAGGATGAGAAATTTTAGACTAGGGACGTAGGCAATCAGTTCTTGGTATACTTGGAAGTAACTTTTCTCTGCATCCAATAAAAGAAAGTAAAAATGTTTGAACATGTACACAAAAATAAAACACACAGATTACAGTACTTAAATTAATATGCTATGGTACTTTTCAGGGATGGCTTGCCAACTAGGCCATCTGGGGCAACACCTCACCTAATACACAGATGCCATGCAAGTTCTTTGCAAAACAAATTTCTAATTCTTTGCTAATATCCCCAAAAAACAGGGTGCTTTCAGGTGCAGCCTTGTCATTATGCCAGGTTAAGGAGGTAGTTTGAAAGCAAGGGGAGTGGCAAGGAAAGGGATTTGCAGCGAACGCTTGGGAGATGGGGCACTCTTTGCTATGACCCAACCTCTCTTGAGAGGAAGGTACCAAAATAAAGAGAACATAATATTTGTCCAGCCAGGTAAATAAGAATTTAACACATTTCAAATCATTTATAAGAAATGTTTTGCTTCTCTTCATCTTCCACCAAGATTTATGTTAACATTCATAAATATGTTGTGGTAATAATTTTCCAAAAACTTCAGGTTGGCATTTATATGTTGTTAAAATGACTCAAACATCACAACTAGTAACATCATAACAGTTTCACTGATTCTCAAACCCTTGATCTTTGCATTTGAAAACGTTAAAATGTACCAGAATTTGATATTACTTTACATTTTGTCACAGATTTTCTACCAGAAAAACAAAGCATGAGCCAACACTCAAACAAAATGCAATAATAATGATGATGTATCTTAACAGTTACAGGGTGATAAACATATTTGTAGTTTGACACAAGTTTCAATATCTTTTTAAATGCTGATGATAAGAATGGTGCTAACATTAATTAAGCTTTGTTGCTGTTGATCATGGCAATATAACAATAAAAATGACACCACCACCAACACCAACAACAACAAAAACAAAAACAATAATAAAAACAATAACCTTTTCCTTACTGAATCCAAGTTCTTCTTCCAGTACTTTCAATGATTTCTCAATGAGTCTGAAACTCTTATGCTTTAATCGACTATATGTTTTCATTAGTGAATCCAGTTCATCTGGTTTCATTTCAAGTCTCCAACAGAGGTAGTGGCTTAACACAGCCATCTGTATATCCATAAATGATGTGTCGTGAGATACACCTTTTGAGTGAAGAGGATCAAATGATGGAGGAGGCTCTTTCAAATAAGACAGAAAATTTTCAGGAACATCAATGTGAGATGGAATATATTGATGGACTTTGAGTAATCGGAGAGGCTTTCGAACTATGGTGATGTAGCTGTGGAAAGAAAGAATTTGTCATTAGTGATGAACTAAAGCAAGGCAAGAGATGCGTATTGACTAAAGAATTTTTTGAATAAAACTTAAATGCCAGCAGGAAACATAAAAAATAGCATCCATGGACTTTCCATTAACAAGAACTGCAATGAAATCATAACATGACAATGTTCAGTCAAATTAAAGTATGCCAAATTAAACAAAACAGAGATCATCACATTTATATGTAGACAATAATTTACAAGAGTGACTCCAAGCTTTCATGATGACTAAACTCAATAAAATCCTCTTAGGCAACAAGCTGTCAGTTCTGGACAGGAGCACATCATTTCAAAGACTCTACCCACCTTCATCAGGGGAATGATGTGATGTTGGTTGTTTAACCTTGAGGAGCATGTTAATTGAGGGGTACCATGCCTTGCTCAGCAAAAGTCCATTATCCCTATTAAAATTTTAAGGTGCAAGTGAGTTTCAATAGCTTCCTTTACTAGTATGCCCATGTACTCTGCACTCATGACAAACAGAGTGGTCTCACCAAAAACAATTTTATACCAAGTTTCTTTGCAGTGTTCTGTCACAGCAGATTTCTCAAGTTGCATGTGGTGTTCATGTATCTTGTATGTGGCTGTTATGGCAGAACAGACATGCTAATCACTTGGTTACAGTGCCACAATATTTGTACTGCATATCTGAGGAAAGCACAGATACTACAGTTTAGGAAAATTCAGAAGCCACAGAGTCATCTGCATAAAGCTGACTTGTGAAGCAGGACACACGTTCACACTTGCCACTGTAATGCATGTGTACAACACTAAATAGCTAATTCTGGCACAAGTGAAAAAACATGCTGCAAGTCACAACACACGTTCAGTGTTCTTACAAGCCAAAATGTTAGAGTTGCAGCAAGTGTTAACTGAAGTTACACCGACAAGGGGACAGTGAGCCAACACAATGCTTCCTAGATGCAAGAAGGGGTGGCAGAAATGCATCTGAAAAAACTGGTCATCAGGTCTGATGAAGATTGTCCTGTAGCACAGGAAGTTGGAAGCAGCTCTAATTATCATGATCTTGGAGTGACACCGTGACAACAATGCCACATATTTTGAAGGTAATGGGTTCAAAACTTGGCTCTAAGATGTTCTTCATGGCTTTCAATACCCCCTCCATACCATGACCATTCCTTTCCACATCCCTACTCACCACACACTATACAACTCATACAAATGCACCAATAGATGAAGAATCAATTAATCAAACATCCTAGCACCACAAAAACATATTCTAAGTCTCAAATACTGTACAGCACAAATTTAATCAGGAACAATGCAGAAGTGAAACTGCACTCATAAATATGGCATACGCCTGGCAAACACATGACTGTCAACTAGAGGTACTCTGAGGCAAATAGCACTAAGTGCATATAAGAGGGAACATAAAATTGCAGTTATATAATAGTTACTTAGGAAATTACACAGCAATGTCACTGCCAACAGCCATCTGTCACATTCCAAAGAACAAACATACTCTTCTGTTTCAGTGAGCCACAGATGTGTTTGCTTCATCTACACTGCAGAATATCCAAGCCTGCCTTTCAATCGTTTCATCCACCTGCCATATTAATCCAGCTGACACTGAATAGTCCTACAATTTCGGAATAGGGCACAGGGCAAACAATCTTTCACGGTGAAATGTTCTGTCTTACAAACCATATGGAATACTGAAAACGGTTCTCTTCTAGGGAATAGTGCCACGGAGTCTGGTAGAAGTTAACTGACATTTCAGAGGTCCTTGGGTGCCCCAGGACCCTGATGATGGAGGCAACAAGCACCTGTGAAACACTGGTAAACTTTGACCAGATTCCACGGTCATACAATCTAGCATGAGAACCTTAAATCCTACAGATGAAATACTGATTGTAAAATGAGAAATCCTGGTTTGGAGCATGTGAAGTTAAGACAGACAATATCATAAGACATACACAATTTATAGTAAACTTAAATTTATTCTGTTCTATTCTGTTAACTAACTATATGGCATTCCTTGAAACACTCATTCATACTAGGCTGGTTAAAAAACTCCCTGCTTCTATAGAAACCCAAAATTCATCACCACATTCACGAATTATCTGTCTTAAGCCAGTTAAATCCAACCACACCCTAAATCCCTTTTAATATTATACTCTACTCTATACATATTTCTTCCAAGAGGTCTCTTCTGTTGATGTTCTAAGTTTCTCATTCATGCTACAAGATCTTCCCACCTCATTCACCACGATTATTTAACTTTTTAAAGACCAATGACAGCCACATTTCCCACCTGCTTCAACAATCACACAGTTCTTAATTTTGTACTTATAGATTTCATACAATTTCCATTAAAAACAGCAATTATCTCCTTAAAGAGCATTAACAAACTCATATCTGTAATGGTGGAGTGTGATGTTTTCTTTGTGGTACAGACTGAATTCTTAAATGTTATTTACACGAGCTTTCGCTTCCATAACAAAAATAGGTGAAGAGTACAAATTAAGGAGTTCCTCATGAAGTAATTTTCTACACTGTGATACAACAATGAGCTATGTGATGTGGCATGAAGAACACCTCTGGGATGTCACCACACACAAATATTATTAAATTGATATTGTGGTACAGTAATTTCACTTCTGCAATTCCACCACTGCTACATAGGCTTTTAAAATGCACCAATCAAGTAAGATGTTGAAATAATAATAACTTCCAGTCTCAATTTTGTTTGGGTTACCAGTTCAGTCTCTTTGAGTGAATGCCTGGATATGTCAAGACTATTTCCTTTACCTACACATATTCATAAAAATGTTTCCACTTAATTTGACACTACAAAACCCATGGAGCAGTGTGTTGGGAGTAATCTGACTTAGACTTCTATGTGGAAGTATCAGACCAATATATACCTATTAAGATGTTTTGCAGTTACATGTGTAAAACCACCTTCTTCAAGGAGCATGGTGTGATTTTCTATTGTTGCTGGAAAAATTGTCAGCACTAGTGGATGCTCTGCTATGTCTCCTTTCTCTATTCCAAATCTCTGTAACAGATAATATAAAATTCATTATTTTTCCTAGGCCAACATGATATATCATAAGTTACCGAAATAAAACAATAGAAAATAGTAGTAATTTGAATTAATGCCATTCTAATCAGATTGTCATAAACACCAACATTTCAGGTAAAATAAAATAAAAAATTTGGAAACAGTGCGAGACAATTTTTGGTGGTTATGCCTGAGTACAACCTTTCTACTATGTGCTATCACTGTATCAGCTTTTCCTTTTGTCAGTTACAAAAGTAAGTTACGTTTAACCTGATGAGTCAGCAGAGAAGAAAAAGTGAAAACATTCCCATATGACTCAGTGTTCTCAGTGTTTGTTTATAGTTTATTTAAAGATGCTTTGAATAATTCACACTATATAATATCAAATGAGAGAATGATAGCAAATAATGAACTGGAAACGATGTGGAAGCAAGTGGTCATGCCCTAATTTAAGATACTATCCCAACATTGGCTGGAAGGACTGAGGAAAACCTCACTCATGACAGCCAGTTCTAACCACTCTGCCACAACGTACAGTCAGTGTTGACAAGATTTGCTTTGTATAAGACATGGAAATTTTTATATTAGAATATGTGGTGTATGAATATAAATCTTTTGTAAAGTGTTAACTCTGTAAAGAACTAGGAAGAGACAGAAAAATAAATTCTGAAAGTCGGTTGGTG